AAAAAAACAAAGCCTATAGCACAATCTTCGTCGAGAGACCTTCAACTGCACAACACACCTATATAGACACCTTGCACATACACATGTGGCAGCGGGCAAACACCATGAGGAACCTAAATGCATCGAGGCACCCAAGGATTTCTNNGAGCTCCTCGAGGTCGTTCCTGAAGCAAATGCTTGTGGTATAGGATTGAGAGGCGGGTGCCATCGACATGACCACTGCATGATAGTGCAGACAAAGGTTCTCGTGCCCTTTGGAGCCTTCCAGGCGTAGCCGTTCGGCTGTCGTGTTGTACTTGGACTTTCGTTGCAAGGCATGATCTTTGAATTTCTTCACTCGTTCCGCCAATCTGCTTAACTCGATGGCAGGGAAGCTTTCGAGCTTCACCTTCGGCTCATCTGATTTCGAGGCTGGAGCATCGTCCAGCCCCATGCTCTGAGCCAAATGCAAAGAGAAACCCTGGAAATCGTCTGGCAATTCCCCGGCCGCTGCCTGCACTTCTTCTTGCAACCTTAGGGATTCGAAGCTTTCGTCGTCTACCTTGTCCTCCACCTCAACGAGGTATTTCTCAGCATTTGTATACTTGCATCGCCTTAGCATCGCCAGTAAAGAGGCTCAAAAGTATGTAGGTGCAAATTCTACAGCACTGACATGACCGTGCATCCAAAGCTCTTCACCAGCTTGTGAGCCGTGCAGTATTTCATTGCTCCATTGATCTTCGCCCTGAGATAGGACGAAGGTGAAGTGAAAAAAACACATAAGAAACTAGTTCTTCGATGGCTACATGGCTATCATCGGTCTCCCAAGGTCCCGGCGTGGAGAATTTCGCCTGGACCATGTCGTCCTCTGTCATCCAGGCCCGGATGACGTTTGCTCGCTGGGACCGGATCTTTTCCCTGCGGTACTTGATCAAAGCTTCGATTCTCACCTGCCCGACACATAAAGACACGTGCACATGTACTGACATGGTTCATGTATGTGTGCAAGATACTAAGAGTACAGATGCCAAGGCAGCCCGTATGCGATGTGGTGGGTGCATGTATGT